TGACCTCACAGAACCGGTTCTGCTGGACTTGCCCTCACGGAATCTTTGGAGACCCAGCACGCACCTGGACAGCAAACCGTCCTCCCCGCCGTGTCCCCACCCGGCCCCTGGGGTCGCCCACTCCGCGGGGCTTCTAAATCTTGTGCACATTGCTGTTTAAGCATTTTGAATATTGTATCTTAATTGTTCCTTTACTTCTCACTTCCTCCAACATACTGTGAGCTTCTTGGGTCCAGACTGTGCAGGACCCCAGCACCTGATATAGTGTTAGCAGGAATTAAGGGCTAAGCTTGAATCGAAAAGTATTGTAACCCCTGGCAGTCAACACCATTACTCTCCAGGGTTCGGAAAAGACCTCGCCAAATATAATTGCCTTTTCCAAGTTGCCTCCATTACTCGTTTCCACACCACCGCCTCTTCCTTCTTGAAATTCTGCTTTGACATCTCTAGTCTCTACACTTGCCTAGCTCTCCTACCTCCTCCAATCTTCCCTAGCTGCCTCCTTCACTGACTTCTTTCTCTTCCCACAGCCTTCAATGAGGTGGTCTCCAAAGCCCAGCCTGCGCCTTCCTCTTCTCTAGTTTCAGATATGAGTTATGAGTTATGTATCAATGAGATATGAGTTAAAGACAATGTGATAATCTCATTCCCTGCACCCCAGTAAACATTTTCAATCTCTCCATAGCAGTTTCAGCAGTGAGATATACACTAGCATCTCAAATGCCGTATGTCTAAAATTGAATTACCCATATTAACTCCTCCCGTCTTCCCTATGTCTGTAAATGCCCACATTCTTCTAAGCTGGAAACATTTGGTTATCCTTGGCTTCTCTCCTCAAGACCTCCTCTCATCCACTCTAAATCCTATTGAGCTCTCTTTGCTGTTTTTGACGTTTTGTTCCTTCTTTCCAAACCCAGTGAAACCTGGATAGTTACTGCTCTTATACAACTTACATTCAGTCTACTGACTGCCCTACTCTGAACATAACAGTTTGTCTATTTCCATTTTTAAATGTAGCACCCAGAGCTAAACACCATATTCCTTTGGCCTCCAGGTGTGCCACTGCATAAATTCTAAACTCTTCATAATATCCTACTCTATCTAGAATATTCATACTTATCCTCAATTTCTCATCCAAGCTGGTATCTACCTAAACCACGCTCATTCCTCCTCATAATGGAGTTAATATTTTCTCTGCTCAGCATTTCTCCCTCTTCTGCATCCCATAAATTTGGTCTCAGATGTTTACGTGACTCCCCTCACTCTAGCTGATTGGTACAGTGGTAAGCACCTGGTCTGCATTGGGCCAATCAGGTTATTCCCAGGAATTTTCTGAACAAAAACTGGAAAAGAGTCCTTTTATTCCTGGTGGCTCTTGTGGAGCTCCTGAGCTACCTACTAATATTGTGAAGAAAATTGGTTTGCATCATAATAAAATAAAGGTCCTGAGAGAAATGGGAATAAGAGGGTAAAAGAAGGCTCAGTCAGCATTTATTTTCCTAATTCTAGTTGTTCCTGAGGCCCAGCTGCATCAGTTGTCTTGCCATGGCTTGGCCATTGAGTCTTTCCTTGACTTCCAAACACCAATAAATTCCTTTTACCTAAATTAATGAGTTTAGTTTCTATCACTTGCAACCAATAGGTCCTCACTGATACATTGACTGCACCTATTCAGAACACACCTTAAATCCCTTGTTCTCCTTAAAAACTTTCCCTAATGTGTTTATCTCATAATGATGGCTCTCCTTCTGACATCCTATAATACTGATTCTTTATGCTATACATACTGACAATTACATTCAAATGAAAACTAGATTATAAACTTGACAAAACTGTTCATTGTTTTATGTACAAGCCTTTTCTCTTCAACAAGAGGGTAAAAATCTTGAGGGTAGTGATTTTGTCATATACTTTAAATTATGTCTTCTACAGTAACCTACACAAATTTGGACACAGAGTGGGTACTGCCTCAAGAGGCCAAAGGACAAATTTCATGAAAACCTTTAGGAAGGGCTGAAGTGACACAGGCCAGCAAAATAATATTGCAGTAGTTCAGGCAGGATGCAAATAACTCAGCAACTTCATATCTTGATAGAGTTCCTTCAGAGTTTAAAGATGATCAGGGCATGATCCAGGCAAGGGAAATAAATGATTTTAGAAAAGGAAATTACCTCATGGGAATTTTGGGTCATGGTGGTGTCACTACAGATCCAGGATTAGTTCTCTGCTCTGATGATCCAGGAACTTGATTTTATCTGTTTACTCAGAGGATTAGTTCTTGCCAAGCAACTTCACAGGAGGAGAAATGGCAAACCAGAATGACTATTTATTCATCTACAACAGAAAAATGGGCCTGATTTGAGATTCAAGACATCTATCTGGGACAGTCCCTCCTGATGGGGAAGTCCACCTTGCAGTCCAGACAGGCAGGTGAGGAGAGTCAACTAATTAGAAAGAGCTGGCAGTGTTCAAGGGAACTTTCCATTAAACAAAATGAATTGTCTATCCTTCCTTTGGTGATATTTCTATGCGCAGCTCTGAGACCAAGCATTTTGTGATGTCACTTTAATAAATGTCTGGGGACACACACACACAGCAAGCTCTGGCCAGTGTGGCTCAGTTGATTGACTGTCCTGCGTTCTGTACATGGAAAGGTTGCCGGCTGATTCCTGGTCAGTACAAATGCCCAGGTTGCAGGTTCCATCCCCAGTAGGGGGCATGCAGGCAGATGCCAATTGTTACACTCTCACACTGATGTTTCTCTCTCCCTCTCTCTCTTCCTCTCTCTAAAAATCAATTAAAAAACCTAAAAGTAAAAATAAAAGGACATGTTCTTTTTCTGTGGCTCAGGTCTTAGTCTGCTCCAGGCAGGTCTTTGGCTAAACCTCACTGGCCAGGGTGCAAGGATTGGACAGACTTAATAGCTTCAGTTCCTGATTGGCATCTCCTAACCTAATCCTCATATTCAGCAGTCGAGCCCTGCAGGGAAAACTACTCATTGTTTCCTGATAATCCTTTTTCATTCATTTCATTGTAATAGAATAATTAGCAGATCACGTGAATAAGTTTACATTTTCAGCTTCCTTTGCAGCTACCAATGGGACTGGAAATGTCATGTGATTCCTTAAAAGACAGCTGGCATGGGTCTTCCCCCTCTTCCCCTTCGCTTTCATATTACTGCCTAGAATTTGGAAATAACAGTTAAAACTCCATCTCGAACCATGAGGTTGAGGGCAACTTTCTGCAGAAATAGAAGAAAACAAGGAGCCTGGGACCTTGAGGACTTTGTGAATTGGAGAAGCTAAAATAGCCCTGGATTGCCTACACCTGGACTTTACCATGAAAAATAAACTTTTTTCCTATTTAAGTTATTGCTCATGGGGGTTTATCACCCACAATGTCCCTAATCCTAAAGAATATATCCCAGTTTTTGCCACTATCTCTAAGTATACAGCTTGACCACCTTTTTTCTTTTTAATCCTCACCTGAGGATATTTTTTCCATTGCTTTTTCAGAGAGG